ACGGCTCTTTAACAGCTTCAGTGGAGCGGAATAATACAATTTAGTTTAACTTTAACAAAACTATACTGTTAAGATTAGGTTTTAGAGCGGTTTTCAATTGATTGTCGTAAATCAAAACCAAAGTAATTACTCTAGCCAATCACAAAGGACACAGACAATACAGTGAACCAATCAAAACATGACGTTAAAATGTGTAGCTGACGCGAAGCGCGGGAAAAAGTGCGCGAGCAAGTCACGATTGGTTTTGGGTTTAGTTTTACTTCTGATTGGACGAAAAAGTGGCGCGAGTTTTTTAAACCAATCATGTAGCGCAGTGATGCAAAACCAATCACTTTTTGACACTCAAATGAACACCGCTCTAATCCTTGTAATTACGATTTGTCTTAAGTCTTTTCGGCATTTCACTTTTCGAAGGTATGACCACGATAATTCTTTGATATGATAATCTTGCTTTCCATTTTGCAAACAGCTTGAGACGAAAATAACGTCAGAGCTTGAATCACTGAAAGAAAGGATCCAGACAATGACCCAGGTAAATTTTGTTGTTATTTGTTGTTTGTAGTTGTTTTGCTAACATAACTTTCGTGTGCAAATCGAAATTCGAGGAAATTGTACTATTAAAAAAAACAGTACAGCTCAACAAATCTTGCCGTCATGCTCTGTTTGATATATATTATAAAATGAACAGATCTCTTAATTCGTTTTTTTTTTTTTTCCTTAGGAACTTGAGACATATAGTGATTTGGATACCCTGAGAGAACAATCTGAGGAGAAGAAAACGGTAACATTATGATGCATAGAATGTCAGTTACAGTAGGGAATCCCCAACATAAGAAGTGCCTTATAATGAACGTTATCATATAACTGAGAAAATTACTTCATTGTGATTGCCTGAGAGCGGGCCAATTTATCGTTAATTTTTAATTTGCACTACAGTGCAAATTAACGTGCGCGCTTTCGTGATTTTCCCAGTAACATAATAAATAAGAAAAGTGTGAAGGCTCCTGCAATTAAGGATTTACACTACTCGCAACATTTGGAAATTCTTTCAAACTGCACTCGCCCTAAGGCTCGTGTAATTTTGAGAGAGTTTTCAAATATCACTCGTAGTGTAAATCCTTAATTGCAATCACATTTATACGATTACCTAAACATATTCTTCAAAGAGCACGTGAAGTTGAATGTGAAACATCAACAGTGATTGATAATCGTTCTTTCCTGTTTTATCTCATTTTCTGTGAACTGCTCACCATTCTTTACAGTTTTCGGTATTCCTTTCTGTATTCTCGTACCAGTCGAGTGTTCTTTTTCTTTACAGTCCTTACATATCACTGAAATTGTCTTACACACAGAGAGCTACGAATCTTTTCACTAACGAACTAAGGTTTTTATTAGTTCTGATTTCCGTCCGCCGCTCATTCGAGTCCGGTCTACGTTCCTTTTACAGCGCGGCTCCGGTCACGAACAAAGGCTGGTAATCGGGCCTAGGTTTTTTGTCTAAGTTTATAACGTTTTGTTCTATCGGTAGCGTTTGCATGGAGAAAAGAAGACATTGTCCGCAAGGAAAGAAACGTTCAAGAANCAAGGTTTTTTGTCAGTAGTTTAAAACATAAGCTTATAACATTTTGTTCTATCGGTAGCGTTTGCATGGAGAAAAGAAGACATTGTCCGCAAGGAAAGAAACGTTCAAGAAACGTAAGTACTTGACTGAACGACCGACTGACCGACTCACTCACTCACTCACTGACTCACTGACTCACTGACTCACTAACTCACCGACTCACTGACTCATTGACTCGCTGACTCGCTTACTCACTGACTCACTGACTGACTCACTGACTCACTGACTCAATAACTCACTGACTGACTGACTGACTGACTCACTGACTCACTGACTCACTGACTCACTGACTGATCTGTTGATTGTTTCCTATTTGTTCTGTTCAGACGTTCAGAGGCTGTCTTCACTCTACGATGCCACAAAGAGCA